AAAAACTATCTCACTAACATATGATATTTCCTGTCCAAGCTCCTAAAAACTATGTTCTTAAAATAAAAGATTATGTATCCATGTCATTGGGCTGCAAACAGAGATTGCATAGTCATTAATAATTATATGATGATATTTGCTTATATGGTTATATGTACGTACAAACTGATTGCAAACGCTAGTAATGGTTTTTTTTCTTTACAGTCATTGTGATGTAGCTAGAAATTACATTATTGATTATGGTAATGGATTAAATTCGTTATTGAGTTCCGGTATGCAAAACCATTATCAACAATTTTGTTTGACCAAATCCAATGCAAGTTACCAAATCATCAATGTCATTAATCATTAAAAAAGTAAGTTGCTATTTCTTGTACTTATAGCCACCGATTTTTAGAGTTAGATGCAACAAATATTGGCTCTAGATCGAATAGAGCGCGAAAGGATATTCTGAAGACTTGAAACTTGGGGATGTAGCATCATCTAGCTTCTGGTGCACATCCAAAAAAAAGACAAATATCAATCCAAAGTCTTGCTATTATAATCAAAACACTTGTCACTTTTATTACATCGATTACCTTTATGTCTACTAATTATAATGTTTTTATTTACATTAATTATTATATCTAATTTGATCAATAAAATGAAACAATTTTAGCAAAGAAATATTTAATGAAACTATTTCGTCATTTATTTGGAATTTCATGATATTACGCAGTGCTTAAAACACCAGTAAGTAAATTCACAATGAGTATCTACATCTACATCTACATCTACATCTACATCTACATCTACATCTACATCCTCTAATAAACAAAACCTATAATTGGCCACATGTCCCCTTTCTACATTGCATACTTGCCACGTGTCATGTATTCATTTAAATCCTATTTTCTAAATTTTCTAAATTTCAAAAATTTTATAAAACACAACAAATATTAAAAAAAATTGTATAAACTGCATAACTTTAGGATAAAACCCGATTTTCAAATTAAAAATCCATGTTGTTTTGGAAACAATATCAATTTACGTTCAATTTCATTCAGTGCATATCTTATCTTATTTTGACTGTTTTGAATATTTAAATGAATCCCAAAAAATCAGGAATTTCAATTTACTCGTATATTAACTCGGTTTGTATTCTGCATTCTTGTCTTCAACATCCATTCTCCTCTTCAGTATTACGATTTCTGCATCTGCATTCTGCACGTTGTTGACATAACAAATCTGGTGAGTTCATCATCATAACTCAAAATATAAAACCATTTTGTGAAAATATATTAATACTAATGCAGCTATGTTTGCTAATTTTTTTTTAAACGAAATGATTATTCGAATTTGTGTTTTGATATTCTTTGATGTTCTTTGAAGTTTGATCTTCATGTTTTTGTTCTAACATAAAATGTTCCGAGGGGTATTATAGTCTTTAATTTACTTTTTTGTTTTTAGTTTTCTTGTATATGCTATTTGATTTTGAAAGTTCCAGCACTAAATACCACTCTTGTGTTGGACATTAAATCGTCCCAAGGGTATTTTAGTCTTTAATTTACTTTTTTGTTTTTACTTTTGTTATATATGCTATTTGATTTTGAAAGTTCCAGCACTAAATATCACTCTTGTCCTTTTATTTTTCTTAAAATTGAAACATTTTTTTTTTTTTTTTTTGTTTATTTTTTTTTTTTGCATATAATACCATCCTACTTTTGGGTGACATTTTGAAGGTTCTGTTTGACAGAAAATGGTCCCAGGGGTATTTTAGTCTTTAAATTACTTATTATAGTTTATATGTGTTATATCAAGTAAACTATCCCCTGAAAATGTCTAAAAGAAAATTCCAACACTAAATACCACTCTTGTGTTGGACATTAAATCGTCCCAGGGGTATTTTAATCTTTAATTTACTTTTTTGTTTTTAGTTTTGTTATATATGCTATTTGATTTTGAAAGTTCCAGCACTAAATATCACTCATGTCCTTTTATTTTTCTTAAAATTGAAACATATTTGTTTTTTTTTTGTTTTTGTTTTTTTTTTTTTGCATATAATAACATCATACTTTTGGGTGACATTTCGAAGGTTCTGTTTGACATAAAATGGTCCTAGGGGTATTTTAGTCTTTAAATTACTTATTTTAGTTTATATGTGTTATATCAAGTAAACTATCCCCTGAAAATATCTAAAAGAAAATTCCAGCACTAAATACCACTCTTGTGTTGGACATTGAATCGTCCCAGGGGTATTTTAGTCTATAATTGACTTATTTGTTTTTAGTTTTGTTATATATGCTATTTGATTTTGAAAGTTTCAGCACTGAATATCACTCTTGTCCTTTTATTTTTCTTAAAATTGAAACATATTTGTTTTTTTTTTTTTGCATATAATAGCATCCTACTTTTGGGTGACATATTGAAGGTTCTGTTTGACAGAAAATGGTCCGAGGGGTATTTTAGTCTTTAAATTACTTATTATAGTTTATATGTGTTATATCAAGTAAACTATCCCCTGAAAATGTCTAAAAGAAAATTCCAGCACTAAATACCACTCTTGTGTTGGACATTGAATCGTCCCAGGGGTATTTTAGTCAGTAATTGACGTATTTGTTTTCTTCTTTTGGCTCTCAGTGTTTATATAACTGATTTTTTGTTGAATTTTGTTGTTCATATGTATATATCAAATAAACTTTTTTGTTTTCTCATTTCATTGACTTTTCAAATTATTTTTACAGATATGGCTACTTCAAAGATTACATTCATAAAAGACATTGACCAAGTCAATTCGGATTTCACTATCAAAGTGAAAGTATTGAAGTTATGGACGCTCAATTCTAAATTTAATGATAACGAAAAGTACTCCATCGAAATGATTTTATTGGATGAACAGGTATATTCTTATTGTTTTCCAAAAAATATATTGCATTTATGATTCATTTTTTATAAATATCTTACATGATTACAATTTGATAATGTTGTCTTCTTTAATGTTTAGGGATCTCTAATTCAAGCTAATGTTTTCCAAAACTTATTTTATAAGTTTGAAAAAAGTCTTCGTGAGGGATCCGTTTATGAATTTACCACCCTATCTGTTGCAAAACACAATCCACATCCCAAATCTACCATCTTTTCTGATCTTCCAAATAAAATAACCTTCATAAGGGAAACAGAACTTAAGGAAAGTCTTAATTTTCCGAAAAATGTTTTTGGATTATCTTTTGTTGATTTTCAGAAAATTAATTCCAAGGTTATCCCAACCCAAAGATCTGTTGGTACGTTTTCATTTATTTAATAAATTCTAATTATTTAATAGTTTACCTAACATTATTTAGTAATTTTATATTGATCCACAATGAATTTCATAGATGTTATTGACGTGGTTGTCTCCCGTACTACTATTATCCACTCTCAGAAAAAAGACAAGCAGAGAATCCATCTTGAGCTCAAAAACTTGGAGTTAGAAAATTTTCATTTTGAATATTTGTTATTTATTAAAAAATTTTATTACCTAATCTATAATTTTGTGTTTTTTTCAGTGGTGTACTACTTAAGGTCACTTTGTGGGGTCATTTTGCCAACAAAGTTTCTGATTATCTTGACACTCATAACACTGATGATTGTGTTGTTATAATTGTGCAGTTCGCAAAAATAAATGATTACAGAGGTTTGTCACATAATAATTGTCAATTTATTTCTTATTATAAATTATAAATATCCTTATAACATTTATTATGTTGTCTATAGGTAATATCGGTGTTGCAAGTTACTATGATGTCACAATTGTCTTCATCAACACTGATATTGATGAAATCAAACAGTTTAGAGAAAAGTTGGTTATTTCGTTTATGTTTATTTTTTTTAACTTATTGATTTTTTGTATTTATGTTTAATTTGTTGCTTTCTTTATAATAAACATTCGTTTTTTATTATATGACATTATATCATACTAAAATATACTTATAATTAAATATTAATCAGGTTGGCTAAGGATAATGAATCTTCACAATCATCCGGTACCATCAGCTTGATTCGGACAAAACATGTTTCACTCAATGATGATTTCCTAAAAAATAATGAGGTTAAGACAATTTACAAAAGTAAAGAACCTGTCCAGGTAAATCAATTTTTTTGTTTATTTTTTCTTTTGCATATAATAGCATCCTACTTTTTTGTTTTGTTTTTTTTTTAGTTTTGTTTTTTTTGGAGGGCAAAATGGGCAGATGGGTGACATTTTCATGGTTGTGTTTGACAAAAAATCGTCCTAGGGATATTCAACTGTTTAATTTTGCTGTTCATCTTTATATATCAAATAAAGTTATTATAGATTATATATGCTATTTGTTGTGTTGGACAGAAAATCATCCCAGGGGTATTTTAGTCTTTAAATGACTTTTTTGTTTTCTGTTTTGGCTCAGTTTTTATATAAGTGATTTTTTTTTTTTGTTTTGAAATTTGTTGTTCATCTTTATATATCAAATAAAGTTATTATAGATTATATATGCTATTTGTTGTGTTGGACATAAAATCGTCCCAAGGGTATTATAGTCTTTAATTTATTTTTTTGTTTTCTGTTTTGGCACTCAGTTTTTATATAAATATTTTTTTGGATGATTTTGTGTTCATCTTTATATATCAAGTAAACTTATTATAATAGCATCCTACTTTGTATACAAACATATATTTATATATTAATGTTTATGTTTCTTAACATCTTTGTTTTTTTTTTTTTGAAGCAGGTTGAAGAGTTCATAATTGTCGGTACTATAATAGGAATCCGCCAAGACAAACCTTGGTGTTACCAAAGTTGTCCCGATTGTCACGTAAAGGCAGTTGAAATTCCGGATTGCAATGAAGATGTGAAACTTTAAAAGTGTACAAATGTTGAATGCAACAAGTCTACTAAAGTTCCTATCCCAAGGTTTTTTTTTTTAAATTAATTTTAAATAAAAAATTATGTTTTTCTCTTCTTAATTAAACAATTTGAAATTGTTATAACTTTCTTTTTTAGATACATGATTCCAGTTTGTGTTCAAGACGATTCTGCTTCTACAATCTTAACTATGTTTGATCGGGAAGCACATGGGCTCTTGGGAATTTCAGCCAGAGATTTAGCAGAAAAACATACTAGGGTACATTAGCAATACATTTTCAAATTTATTTTTTTTACCGTTCGACTCCAAATGTAATAGCTATTTTTACCATTTTTTCAGCTTGGATTCAGTTTGGGCATATATCCTCCTGAACTCAATTTTTTGAAAAACAAGCATTTAGCTTTTAAAGTCAGTGTCACAAAATACAATGTGAGATTTCAAAATAATGTCTACACAATCTCAAGGGTAACGGAGGAAAAGCAAATAATCGAGAGTTTGGAGAGAAAGCTACTTCAGTTGCAGGTTATCATTTACTATTATTTGGATTTATTATGCAAAGTTAAAATACCAATTACTATTATTTTAAAGTATTTGCACGTATATGACATATAAAACATATATTGTCACATCTATAGCCTGCAACTTTAGAGTCTTTAAACGATGGACCATCCGACTCCAATTCCCAGGAAAAAAATACTTACCAAGGTATAATTTAACACTAATATAATGCATTATAAGTATTATACTTCTTCATTTTTTACATAATATGTTTTCATTTTTTTTAAGGATTGGGTTTTACATTCGGATGAAAATGTTACACCGTCTACCGGAAATATTTTGACACCAACAAGTTTTGAAAATGTAAAAAGTACTCCGATGAATTTAACACGCAAGTTTGAAGAAGTGTATGATGTGGAACAGTATTCGAATTCGTCATCAACAAAAGCACCACGTCTTTCAACTGGAACTGGAGAGGGTATCAAGCTTTTGATACCAAAAGTTGAAAAATAACAAGACAATCATTTTTTGAAACATTTTTTGCTTTAGCTTTATTTATAACTTCCCATGAAGTTTTTAATAATCCTTCAAACTTGGTTAATAACTTATTATGACGTTGTACTTTGAAAAGTACAATTGACTACTCTTTTGCATTGATGCATTTTAAGACTTTTATGTTTGGTTTTGTTTTTTAATTTTATTGAATGTTCTTTTTTTCATTTCTTAAGTATTTTGACATTGTATTTTGAAAATTAAAATTGACTACTATTTTAATTTTCTTTTCATATGACTATATTTGTGTCCCTAAATGTTTGTAACAAAACACATCAAAATTCATAAAACATGAAACTTAAAGAAATCCAATGAAATTGAATGCCATTTGCAACAAAACACATCGTGGAATGGATTCTCGAATTCTAATTCCAATTCCGCCGGAATTCACCCACAAACCAAACGCATCTTAATAGTAGGATTAATGCAAAATATAGCTATTACTATTATAATTGTATAGCAAAACCGAAAAATTGAAAGAAAGAATGTAACCTCTTTGATGTAATGAAAAAGTTCTTGGTCTGAGGAACTCAATAGCATTTCTCGTGCATCTTTAACTGTTAGAGACTCATACGCCTTCTCACTGCACCCAACAATCTCATCCCTGCAAATGAATTTACAAAATCATGTTATAATTACTGTTCATAAACTCAATAAAAATAAATGAAATGCACCCAACAATTGTTACCTGACTGTTCTAGCCAAAACATCCATGACATAAACATATGTTTCGTGAGGTTTTTTTAGTGTCTAGCAGTCAATACTCGATGGTTAACCCTTTCCATGAATGATTGCTCAAGCTCCACTGCATTTTTGATACAAGTGTTTTCAAGAGCATTGCCTAAAACAACTATAATTCAGTGTGAAACTCTGTAATTCTGTTTTGAACAAGTATTCTCAAAAGATTTAGACCCAAGATTGGTTACTCTTGGAGAGATTGTGTAAGGCGACCACTGTTTTTCCAACAATAAAATAAAAATGAATTATGACCAATGATTTAGGAAGAGAAAGATTCATAAGAAAATATCAAACTATAAATAACCAAAATTTGTATAATAAGGCTTCAGCCGAAAGAAATGCATCTTGATCTTCCATCTTTACACTAAGCACAAGAGCATGCTCATAGATATCCCCTGAAATTGACGTATTAATAAAATTATATTCTTATACTATGAATAAAATGTACCTCGATCTCAACAGATCGAAGGAAGGTGAAAAGAAATGCAAGTTGTTTAACACTTGCTTGCTATGGTTAACTATTGGATTGCATTAGAAGTTTCTTTAAACAATGGAGGAAGGCTTTTGAATTCTATCAGCAATATGGAATGGAATAGAACAAATTTTCATTCCATTCCGTCAAACAAACAACGGAATTGACAATTCCATTCCCAGACAAACTCATTCATCAATGTCTATTTTATCTATGTAGGTTTTGCCCTGAAACTTCAAACAAAAAATTTACAATTAAATTAAAAAAAAAAAAAAAAAAAGATTATTCGAAGTTCATATATATAATCAAATTACTTGGTGGGTTACAGAATTTAAAATGATTTCCACAAGAGTAGCGATTGTTTCTCATATCATGGAAAGTAAATAATTAAAAAAATTCTTTTTAATTTTGAATATATACGATGAAAATTTGTCTCCTAATTTATAGCATTTTCGAATTCAAAAATTGAACAACTATATTTTCTAAAAACTTACAAATTATACGATCGTTTCAAATATTGACATTATTCATTTCCGTTTTAAGGAGAACGTATTTTGCCTATCATCTTCAAAGAAATTGTTTATGCATCTTCAACAGCTAAGTTATTATACCTAAACATATATCTTTTCTTACAATAATTAAGAAATATGAACAATAGATACAGGGATGTGTTGAATCTTACCTTCGTATTTCTATCAGCGGTTCCAATTTCTGAACTTTCGACCTAATTTTCATTCGCCGCAAACAAAATTTCTTCAATCTAATTTGTTTCAGTTCAAAATGTTGAATTATTTGCTTCTGATATTCAATCGATGGAGACGGAGCTTAAGTTTAGATTGAAAATACAAAACAAACGATGTCTGTGTGTTGTGCCAGAGAAATGAAATCGTCTAGGGTTATTGGTATGTGTAATGCAACGATGTTTGGGGAAAGTGTATTAGGATATTGGATACCATACCATGAGTATGTATATGCATTTCACTTTATTTTAAAATTAATTTAAATTTTAAAAAACCATTGTACATGTATTATTTTCTAACAATGTTATTAGTAAATTTAACTTAATTTTACTTATAATTATACATATGAAATATTTTAATGTTTTTTTCTAAATAACATCCTAAACAAATATTAAATATTAATTAGACTCGTATGTTATAAAATTACGTTTTTAAATTAAAGACAAATTATATAAATATGTAAATTATTAATTTTTCCAAAGTAACTAATAACTTTACATGAAATATACACAAAACATTGAAATTTACGCAAATTAACACTGAAATTTCAAATTTCGAAATTCAACTTAAATCACCTAAACAGTTTAATAAACAAAAAATCTTCAATCTATTAAAACAATTATATGTGCATCTTCTGCAAAAAAAAAAAAAAAAAAAAGAATTGGGTTTTACCTTGATTCCTCTTCTTCAAACATCTTTCAAGATTAGTAGTATTGGATTCTTGAACACCTTTTATCCAGATTTCGACCTCCATCCAGGGATCTTTCTTTTATACTATCTATTCATTCTCTTTGAAAACCAAAATCGGCACGTTAGGTTGAAAATAAAAACTCATTATTCATACCTAATTGTTAATTTTTACCACAAAAAGTCGGATCGAGTATGCAATTAGTAACCCTGTTATTCGCTTAGCACAAACCGACTCAATGATTTCACATTCGGCCACCGTTGCTACCCTCTACATCTTCGTTTTGTCGGAGTTTTTTGTTTGTCAATGTATTTTTTGGGTGAGCCACGTAACTTTATAATAATACTAAATGTTGTATCTATTCGGAAAAACTGATTTATTTAATATATGTAATATGTGCATTCACGTTTAGATTTTTTTTAATAACTATGCAGATTAATACTTTTAAAATGAGAACTACATATATATGTTATTAATTAACAAATATGATATTATATGCAAAAATAATTATAATAATAACAATTTGTTTTGCATAATTCAATTTAATTTTTTTTATTATGATTATTTAACTCTCCATATATTCTTATAACATATTTACATGTATATATAATCTTTTTTAACATTTAAAAACTGTTTTTTTATTTTTTTATTTTTTATTTTTTATTTATTTATTTATTTTTTTTGCAGATTTAACGAAAAATATGGACTATACTCATGCTAAAGAAAATAGAAGACTTAGAAAAATATATTTGGATAAAAAAAAAAATCCAAAACTTATTTTTCTACTTCAGTCCCTAATAATTCATCAACCGTACATGTTTTAAACAGGAAACATAATGATGATACAATCAACTATACATCGTTCTCAAATCAGCAAAGAAGCTTACAGTCTCCTTCTTTAATTCTAAATGTTAGAACACCATTATCTAACATTTCCAATGGTATGAGTCATTTTTTACAACCTACTATCAAACTTTTACCATTTTCGAGTTTATTATATGAACAAATTACATATCAATCTCTTATCGTTTCGTTACTTTTGTTTTATAGAATGGATGGACATGTATTATAATTATGCTAGAGAGAGAAGAAAGATTAGAAAGTTATATTTGGATAATAGAAAATCCAAAGGAATCTCTACCGCATCAATTATTCAAAATCCCTATAATTCTAATGTTTTCAACATGCACATACACGGTAATCGTTTTCCATTTCTTATATATATATATATATATATATATATATATATATATATATATATATATATATATATATATATATATATATACATATATTTTGTTTTCATACCTTGAATTCATATAGATAATTATATATTTTTTAACAAATGTTTATATTGTATAACAGAAATGTGCAATCCTTGTGGAAAGTTTCTACCTTCAAACAGCTCAAAAAATGTTGGTAACGAAAATACAAGTAACTATAAATCGTTTTCATATCAACAAAGAAGCTTACAGTCTCCTTTCTTCAATTCGAAATGTTAGAACACCATTATCTAACATTTCCAATAGTATGAGTAATTTTCTACCACTTATTATTACCGTAATTCATTAAGTGTATAAAAATTCTACCAAAAATTATACTGTCTAATTCTTTTAACGTTTTTTACAAGCATATATAGTTCTTATAATAACATCCAAACACCAATATCAAATAACAGACATCACTCTTTCTTTTCCAATGGCATGCAATCCCTCGACTCCTCGACTATAATTCAACCTTCTTCTTCTGATAATTTAACAAGACGAACCCAAATATTAAAAAGGAAGCCTACCAACATATCCACAATTCCTTTGTTTCATTTTACAATACACGGAGAAGTTAATGATCAACATACCCATGCAAACATAGCTAAAGGTGTATCAAAAGGTAACCATCACAATAAAAAAGTTATTTGAATTTATTATTATCTTAAATTTATGCAATGGTTACAGCTACATAGATTGTTATATTTGACATTGATTTTTTTTAAACAGATTACATTGATCATGGTGATCAGAATGTTGTATGTCAAATATGTAATGCAAAGTTATGGACAACTGAATCTATTAGAGGAAAAGATAAACAGAATACAAGTTTTTCACTATGTTGTGGTTATGGCAAGGTTCAGTTGCCAGATTCTAAAAAAGCGCCACCAAGTTACCTAAATCTTTTTCGTTCAACAAATTCTAAATCCAAGTACTTTATTAAGAACATTCGTCGTTACAATTCAATGTTCTCATTTACCTCAATGGGTGGGAAAGTTGATGCATCCATTAATAGTGGAAAAGCTCCATTCATATTCAGACTTGGCGGTGAAAATTAT